GCGCGCTTTTCCTTTCTCATCTGGAAAAAGCCACCTCAAACCCCTCTCTCCCGCACGGGTTAGTCTTTAGGAAACAAAAACAAGAGGCAAATTCCTGAGTGTCCGTGAGCCCCACCACGGTGGTTTATCGGAGGAGAAACAATCGTGTTTGGCTGGACATCTCTCCGGCGGCTCCTCGGAGAAGTTATAACCCCTCGCAGCACCCCCCGCGCTGGTGGGCACAGCCGCTTTCAGGGGCTGGAAGCGAACTGTAGGGTCCGCTCCGCGCCCCGAAAAGCCGTGACACCCCCCGTTTCCTCCCTGACAGTGACTTAAAGGCAAAACCAATTTACGAGCCCCTCCAGATCCTTCCCCCGATGCCGCCCGGTTCCCTATCCCAGCAGGGCTCGGACGGGGACGCCCCCCCGACCCCGGACATCCCCCGGCCCGTCGTGACTCCGGCGGAGCTTCTGCCCGCTCGGTGACACCTTATTTACGGCTTCACCCGTCCCCTCTTGGCCCAGCAAGCCCTCTTGGCTTGCCGTTTGCCCCAGATCCTTTTCCCCCAGGGCTTGTGGATCCTGCCTGTATTTCCTTCTCCTTCCTCAGGTGTTTGCTCCTGCCAGAGTCCCGGTGCTAGCAGAGGTGGCCTCCAGGAGCGTGTCCTCCCCGGCCCAGGGGGATTGATCCCCTAAGCCCTCTCAGGGAAGCATCGGACGAGGACCAGTCTCTTGCCTGCCTCCACATCACCGGAGGACACCTGGAATTTTGCGGTCCTTCACCTTATTTCTCCCTCTCCCCTTTCTTTCTAACGGTGTCACAGGCTCAGCGCCCGTCGCCCCAGTATTGGGAGAGGGTGGTGGGTGGCTTGGCTTCTCCTGCCCTCCCCCCAACCTCCCCGGGCAGGATCAGGCCTCTCCCGGCCCCGCGCGTCTGATCGCTCCGATTAGGGCCCCGCAGAAAGCCCTGAGGCAGAAAACTCGCTTGCCCGTGGGGAAGGAGAGGGGCTGCTCGCCGCTGCGGCTAGAAGCCCGTGCTGCTTGGGAAGGGAGGAGAGGGAAGCAGGCTGACTGAGAAACGGCCCCCTGTCCTCCCCCGTGCCCCGGGAGGACCGGAGCACCGAACACCGCGGCGCTTTATATTTTTTCCCAGCAGCGAAGCCGACGATGAACACGAGCGGGTCATCTCTTGCTTTTACATAAATTCATCTCCAGGCATTTTGGCAGCATTTTTGAGATATATTCTAATTTTTCTTTATCCTAAAGAAGTCTTGGATCACCGTGCAAGTTCACAAGAACTATAAACCAGGGCTGCTTCAACACTATTAAGGCCACATGTTTAAATGCTCTACAATCACTTATACAAATATTAAACATTCATGTCCCAGAATAATAGATGGTACAGAAGTGAACAGCTAATGAGTCCAGATATGAAGCAGCATAATATGGGGCAGATAATTTTATCTGTTTGGTACTGACATTATTTGAAGTACAGGCACACAAAAGCCTTCCCCTGACAGCAGATCCTCAGGAGGAAAAAAGAAAAAGAGGGGGGGGAAAAAAAAAAAAAAAAAAAAAAAAAAAAAAGAAGACGACTGCCTGGGGCGGCTTTCGAGGAGAGGAGAGACAGTGGCTGCCTTTGAGCGGGGCGAAGGGAGCGGGGCAGCCTCACCAGCCCTCTGCCCTGGTCAACAGACTGACGTGGTTACAAACCATAGCAAACATTTTATTTACAGGAGATATATATATATATATTTATATATTTTGTCAGTGCAGTATTTCTCGGCCGGATTATTCGAAGCAACACGTTGCAACCAATGAGGACGTTGGCAAAATACTTCACATTGTAAATTGGTTTGGGGGTGGGAGGGAAGAGAGGGATTTTCGGAGCACGTTCTCGGAGTCCCTCGCTTGGATTTTCCTGGAGAGGACAAGGGGCGGGAGACGGAGAATAAAATAAAATTTAAAAAAAAATAAAAAATAGAGAAATCCCGCTCTCCTGCGAGCAGCGTGGAGGGAGCGGCGGGCCGCCTCACGCACAGCC